GGAGGAAAGGGTTCAGGCCGAGAGGGGAGGGTGGGGACGCTGCACAGGCCGGGGCAGGAAAGGCCCAGAGGGAGAGCGTGTGCGGGGGGCAAAGGCCGGAAGCTCTGGGTACTGGTCCACGGGCTGAGCGGCCCTGATGCCCGGAGGGAGGGGGAGCCCCGGACCAGCCCTGGAGCCTGGCTGTGCTCTGGCAGACGGGCAGCGGGAGTCTCACCGGCTGCCACCATCACCGCACCCTCAGTGAGACACGGGGAGGCCTGTGGCTTCCCGTCTCTCAGATGGTGGGAGGGAGGGGACTGAAAAGCCAATCCCTCCCCAGCTGAACCCAGCCCCAGCCTACCCAGAGGGTGCCAACCTCCTCGCTGGTCAGCTTTGCTCCCCAGATGAGCTCCCTGAGGAGCTGAGGGTCTTGTGAGGATAAAATCAGTCCCAGTTCACCAGCCCCCCGGGCAGGTCCAACAGCCTGCAGACACGAGAGATCCTCTGTGGGAAGGTTGTTAGGCACACCACGGGCCTCAGGGGAAAGGCTGCTTTGCAAACTGACAAACTGACCAGGCCGGGGAACTGAAGCCCAGCGAGGGAGGGGCTGCCCGAGGCATGGGGTAGGCGCCACGAATCTGAACTAGGGCTGAGAAGGCCCCACCTGCTGCAGAGGGAAGGTCGCGGGGGAGCACGCACCCCATCCGGAGAGGCTACGTGTCCCGTGGCCTCAGGGCTCAGAGTGGGGTCTCTCCGGCTTGGCCTAAAGCCCACCAAGCCATCACAAGAGTGGGGACCCGAGGCCCAGCTGGGTCTGCTGAATCAGAACCCTGGTGTCTGGGAAGTGCCCCTAGGGTCCCACAGAGTGTTCTATGGGCACCCGGTTTGAGAACGGGTCCCGCAGTGGTCCCATTTCTCCGTGTGCCCTCCAGACCTCGGTCCGGTCCACCAGCTGGCACCCGACACCACCAAGGGAGTGGGAAGAAAAGGACAGATCTGTGTCTCAGCTGCAGGGATGTGGTGACCCACACGGTCACCACAACTGGCAGCCTCCCCCTGGGGTCCAAGCACGTGTCCCAAACCTGTGGCTCCCCGCAGAAACTCCCCCCAAAACTCCATTTTCGTCCTGGGACAAATGTCCTGAATTCCACCCAGTAGCTAAGTGACAGGTTGTTTTATTCAGTTGGGACACTACTTCTGAATCCACAGGCACTGCTCCCCCTACAAACCCTGAACCCAGATTCACGCCCCCCCCCAGGGAGGACCCCAAGGAAGAGTCCCCCAGATCCACCCCCACCGTTTGGCGACACCCAGTTCTCCCCCAGACACTCGGGTCTGTGGGTCGGAAACGTGTGATTGGCCCAAACCTGTGGAGCCTTAAGTGGGGACTCGAATGGCAGAGGGGCCTGGGAGCAGGCGGCTTGGGCGGGAGGGAGGACGGCAGGACATTCCTGGACAAGAGGAGACACGGGCTGCAGCCGCAAGGAAGCCGCTCTTGCCGAATCCCGGATGCGGCTCGGGGCACATGTCTGGTCTTGCGGGGACAGGCGGCCCCCACTGGTGCTGACAGCCCAGCCCCCGGGGTGGCCTCTCCAGGCTGCAGGTGGCCTATCAGCGGTGGGAGATCAGCCCTGGGGCCGGGAGATTGATCGCATTCCTGGGGACCCAGCCCGCACCCGCGTGCCAGTCCCCGGAGCAGAAACCCTGCGCCCCAGTCGGCGGCGTCCGTGGCCCTGCGGGCTGGTGGCGAGGTGAGCCCAGCGGCCGGCCTCGCTTGGCCAGAGGGAGATAAGACACCTACACAAACAAGGACACAAAGCCGGCTCTCACGGCCGCGCCAGCTGCGCACCAAGCCCTCGGCGGGCACTTTATGGCGCATTATCTCTTCTGTGCCCCACAATAGCCCTGCCAGGTGGGAATCCTGCTCCCATTAAACAGATAAGGAGACAGGGTTCCGAGAGGCAAGGGGGTGGCCAAGGTCACCCAGGTTATAAAGCTGCCGGGCCTGGATGCAGCCCAGGCCCACCTGGACACCAAGCCCACCCCCCTTTAATGGAACGTGTCATAAATAGACTCTTTGTTTTCGAGAAAACGTTTTGAAAAGGAATGTTGGTTCCAGGGAGGAAGCAGGGGCAGGACACAAACTGTGGCTTCTCCCTTTGTCACCCACATTCACACACGGGGGGAGGGGGGGAAGAGCCCCCTCCTCCCTCTCTCTCTCTCTCTCACACACACACACACACACACACACACACACACGG